TTCGCCCTGCACACACCCCTGTTTTTGATGGGCATGGCTCCACCTGAAAATAGAATTCACGCATTATTTTTCTGAGCGATTTGGAATTTTGATATATACGCGCTGGAGGATGATTAAAATGCAAATCCAGAAAGAGCTACGCAGACTCACAGCTGCGAAACGAAAGCGGGAGGAGAATTTGCATAATGGGCGGCTTTCTCGGAATTATGAACCACTCGGTTTTGCAGCAGAAAAAGGGCAAATAAAACGAGCTGGATTTATATTCAATGTTCAACTTTGAGATCAGCAATTTACCAAAAAGTTCGGGGAGAAAATCAGAGTGAGATATGATAATTTTCCATTTTTTTTCTTCTTTTAGTGAAAGATTAAATTTTTTTAAATAATTTTTTCTCATTTTATTCGTTTTTTAATACAAAATTTGGAGATCTTAAAATATTATAAATTAAAATGAAAATTGATTTTTACTTAATATATTATATAATTGAAACAAAAAAATCAAATAACATTTTAGTTACGAAGAGAGCAACTTAAGCAAGGCTAATCCCAATAATAATTCATTTTGGTTTTACATCTTAATATCCAATTTTCAACTTTATTGTAATTGATTGCTCAAACTGCACTTTTAGCATTTAAAATTAATACGGGCATTATTGTAAATCTCCGACAAAAGCAATATAATAATATATAAATATGAAATCTTTTGAATGCAATTAGTAAAAAAAATTATCATTCTTGAAAATTTAATGTTGTTTCATGGCAATTTCTGAAAAAATAATCATTTTTATTTCAATTTTATTACTAAATTAATTACAAAAGTTTTTTTCTTCAAATCTGGATATCAAGAAAGGCTGTGCAATTCTTTTTAATTTAATTTAGTTGCAAATTCAGTAGTTTTCTCAATTTGTACACGTTTCTTTGGAGCTTTTCTTTTCAATAGAAAAATTCAGCACGAGATAATTCAGGTGAAGACACCAACGGGAAAATCTAGCAAACACTCTTGCAAAGGCCTCAACACGCTTACTCTGGTAGTCAAATTTTCCGCCTCCCGTGGGGCAAATTGGTCGGAGGCAGAACATCAAACCGCTTTGCGAAAGGGCGACGCCGCACGTGTCAAACGCAGTTCGCACCGAGCCCGGGAAATAACATTTTATTTTCCGGCAGACGGTGTGTTTTCCCGCGGGAGGAGCCGTCGCCGAATTTTCGCGAAATGAATTCATAGAGAAGTGCGAACTCGCCCTCGGCGGCGCAGCATCCCTCGCCAAAGGACCACGCTATTATTGATCTCGGCCCGGCCACGCCCACCCCGGCCGCGCACATTGATAATGAGCCGCCCGATGCTGGTGCTTAATGAATCGCAAATTGCGCTCTTTTCTTGTGTCGCCGCCGCCTCTGGTTTTTGTCGCTTATGTGAATGGAATCTTGAGTCATCAACCTGTTCCTCCTTTGACTGCAGCCTCATTAAATTGCTGTTTTTGCCATGCACTACATTCAAATTAACCCCCAGACCAAATCTTCCAACCAATTTAGCTCATTATAATTGCCTTCTTAATAACTTCCTCAGATTTATTCAATTCGGAAATTAATGAAAGTATTTATTTATATTATATATATTTTAATCTTTTGAAGTTTGCATTTTGCTGAATAATTAACAAATAATGTTTGGAAATTATTTATTTTAGTTTAGATTCTTGTATTTTATATAATTAATAATGTTATAGCAAATGGAAACTTCTGAGAAACATTTGAATAAAAATCTGAAAGACATTAAATAAATTGATAAATTTGTTAAAATTAATTTGAAATATTACTCGCTAAAGGAAGTTAATTGCAAGGTAGAAATTTAGAAAATTAAATAATTTTAAATTCAATATTGATTGCATTTAGTAGAAATTTAAACAGCAATTAGTGAACAAAAAATTAATTTTAGTATTTATTTTATTCTTTTAATTTTTTTATAAATTTCATTATTTAAACAAGCTGAAGAATAACAAATATCAAATAATGAAACATTAAAATTTGGGCATTTTATCATGAACTTCCCTTTCTAATAATTTATCTCACACTCTAATTACAAGTTGCCAAACAAAAGAAGTAAAAAGCTTTTAAATAACGCCAGACTGAGTAGCGGGCTCGCCTTTAATTGCGAAAACAAAAACGGGATGCGTTGATGAAAATCCGTCAGAGCAAAAAGAACGGCGCTGCCGCATAACGTAATTAATTACCCTCTTGATTGCAATGTGGACGCAAATCGGCTTTTTAGTGAGGCAAGACATTCTCATCTTACGTGACCCTCGCTGACCCACACGCTACTTTCGATTATCTTGTTCTCCAGATTTTATGGCGGGCGGCGCGCGTGCCGTGGAGAAATTGCACCCGAGAGCAACACCGTCTTGCTCGTTTTGTTGCTGCAAGAGCAAAGAAAGATAAGTGAGGTGAAATGGACATTAAACTTCCGCCCGCCGTTTAATTAAGATGTGCTTTGCGTGGAGACGAGAATCGGCGCAATTTCGACTATGGCCCTCTTTGTGTGAAGCTGAGGGCGCAGTTTTCTTCCGTTCTGATTACATTGAATTGGAAGCTCTAATATTTTTTTCACACCAAAGTTTTTGCATCATAATAAATTAAATTTTGATTGAAAAAGTGCAAAATTATTTTACTTATAAATATTATAATTTTTTTCATTCATTACAGACTAAATTTTTTTAAAAAGCTATCAATAGAATATTTTATTTAATTGATAAAAACTCAATACACATTATTCATTTTCTTATTCTTTCAAATCGATTTCATTATGGCTTTAAACTTGATGCGTTTCTTCAAATTAATCTTTTTTTCTTAAATTTTATTACAATTTATTTCGTTAACATGTAAGTTATTGTTACTTTGTAATACATAAATAATTTATAATTTAAGAAAAAAAATCTTAACAAGGAATTATAATTTAATTTCTGTGCTTTTCTACCTTCGATATCTTTTTTTTCAAAAAGTGTCAGTTATACGCACGTCTTCTTTGAAATTGATTTTGCGTGTTTGAACTTGTTCTTTGTCAGGCTGATCATGACAGCAGCTGCCTAGTAATAACGTATGACTCTGTGATTACGGTGTTGAGTTGCAAAGTGCACGTCACGTCGGATCGATGGTGCGCGCCGCAGCGTCCCCTGCATCTTGACCCACTGACGCGCTCAGTTTCGCAACGCTCCACATTTTTCTCGGCGACCACAATTACACACAACAGTATCTCCGTGCTTCATACATATACTTGTACAACGACTTTGTCCTCTAATTGTGCGGACGCCGCCAGCACTGTGTAATTTCCCCAACGTAAAATCCCGCTTGTTTCTAATTTATGCAGAGAATTGCGGCTAATATTCGCCATTCGCTCTTACAGCCAGAGGAGAGTGCATTGTTTAAAAATTTCGGATTGTTTAAATAAATAATAAAATTAATTTTAAAATATTTGTTTAATAATTTGTAGTATTCTTCAGTTCAAGAAAGAAGTGGGCATTCTGGTTGAATTTATTTTTATTGATTTGAAATTTCATTGAAATATTTCATTCATTCAACAAAATGTAAAAGCAGTTCATTTCATGTTCATCTAATTGATTGAGAATTTTCTAATTGTAATTTTTATTGCTGAATTCAATTAATAAAAACTTTTTTAATTAAAATATCAAAATCTTTGCTTTGATTGATAACCGTTCTGTATTTCAATAAATAATAATATTGTCCAGTTTCTTGCAAGAATCGATTTGGCCAAGATGGGATTGCAATTACCCCGGCGGATTTATGACCACCGAGCCATAAAGCTCTCCTGATCGATCAAAAATTAAAGAGGCCATCAGAGCAATAAATATCTGCAGGGACAATAAAGTCGCGCCTCTCCTTTGTCGATTGCTTTTGCAAAGAAAAATAAAACAGTATCAATTTCACCGCAGTCGGTCCCACATGGGACGATCGGTCTGATTTATGGAGCAGCGACCGCGCAATACACACGCCAGTGAATCAGCAGCACTCGATATCGCACCTCCCTTGTCGCCCGAGCTAATCATTTTTCCTCCATTTGTACGGAGAAACTTTTTGTCCGGCTATGGAAATCGATGGAAATTAGCTTGGAGACTTTCCAGCCGAGGAAAAGTGGTTTTGGCTGAATCTCGTTTCCGTCGACGACTGACGCCTTGCGTAAAGGATCCGCCCTACTTCCGCCGGATAATTTGTTTGGAAAAATATATATAAAAATGGAAATTTCACTTTACGAGATCTGTTTTTTATCTAGAGCAATTTGGTGCAGGAAATTGTTGTTTTCAGAAAGTCGTTTCCTAGAATGTTGCGGATGTGATTTTCTTGCTGCATTTATTTTGCATTTGCATCTTCTGTATGCCAAGGGAAGATAAATAAATAAATATAGGCAAAATTTATATTTCAACAGTGCTTATTTATAACATTTTAATTTTTTATTTTTAAAAATGGTTAATAAATCTTGTATGAATTCAAATAAAAAAGTAAAAAAATATTGAAGTGCGTAATTGAATTTGTAAAATATTTCAATGTTTCTTTATGAAATATTTTATTATAAATTAATATCAAATTTGAATTTAATTTCAAATTTTAATTTATTGGGCAAATTTACAAGTTTTTTATCTAAGTAATTAAAACATTTCATTTTATTATAATACCTATCATTGGTTTTGAATGGGCTACTTTCCAAGAATAAACATCCTATGAATATATTTGCAATTTCGTGAATGGGTGAATTCTCTTGTTTGCATTTGAACGACGTGACTGGAGACAACTTTGTTTCATCTCTCGACTGCAAATTCCTACCCCGGCGCTCGTCCACCCCTTGAGCACACAAAGTCTCTTATGACATGCAAACCCCAAGTTTGTTCATCTCTCAAAGCTCAAAAGTTTCTGACGTCACCGTTGCAAAACATACTGAATATTTTATAAATTTTTACTATGATGCCAATTTTTCTCTAATCCGATTTCCATCTGATTCGCAGGAAAACGCCAAAGTCATTTGCATTCGACCACTGCTTCTGCTCGATCGACCAGGATGACGAAAACTTCGCCTCGCAGGAGCTCGTGTTTGACTCGCTGGGCCGCGATATTCTCGACAACGCATTCCAGGGCTACAATGCGTGCATTTTCGCCTATGGACAGACTGGTATGTAGAATATTATTGCTTTGAGCTCTTGCAGCCTGGTGCTCTCAGAGGGATGAATATCGCTTTCATCTCCACTAAAAATAATCCAAGCAGGCCAGACTGACTACAATTTTTTTCTATTTATTTTGATATTTTTTAATAATTTAGGCAAAACATAAATTTCTCCAGACGGAATATTGAAAAATTGTTGAGTTTTTATTCAGAGAAAATCTCTATTAAAATTTTGGTTTTTTCCCGTTTTATTACAATTATTTCATTTAATTGCGGTCAGGTTTTGTTAAATTTATTGCAATAATGTCAGAATAAATAAATTTATTATAAAAATTATTGCTCCCAAATTTTTGTTGTTTGTTCAATTAGAAATTTTTAATATTTGTTTATAGGCTCAGGCAAATCTTACACAATGATGGGTGCTCAAAGCGACTCGGGCATCATCCCCCGCTTGTGCGACACGCTTTTTGAGCGAATCGCCGAGAGCCAGAGCGCCGAGTTGTCATTCAAGGTTGAGGTCAGCTACATGGAGATCTACAACGAAAGGGTGCACGACCTGCTAGACCCGTTGTCCAACAAGCAGTCGCTCAGGGTCAGGGAACACAACGTCCTGGGCCCTTACGTTGATGGCCTCTCACAGCTGGCTGTCACTGCTTTTGAGGTATTTTTTCATATTTCTAATCACATCAATAATTAATAATTTAATTAATTTTTTTTAATATTACATATGAATAACAAGTAAAAGAAATTTGTAATAAAATAGATTAGTTTCATAAAAACCACCTAATGAGATTTATTATTATTTTAAATCGTAAATTTTAACTAGAATTAAAAACAATTATTTTGAAAATGGATAATTTTGCAATAAATTTATCCTCATTGCATACTAAAATTACCAATTTTTCTTAAGCTTATAAATATTTTTTAAATGAAGAGTTTTATTGTTGTGCAAATATTTATTTACTACATTTGCCAGGACATTGCTGCTCTGATGACCGAAGGCAACAAATCGCGCACAGTGGCTGCCACCAACATGAACTCCGAGTCGTCGCGATCGCACGCCGTCTTTTCCGTAGTCCTGACGCAAACCCTGACGGACCTAAAGAGTGGCGTAACCGGTGAGAAGGTGTCTCGGATGTCCCTGGTGGATTTGGCTGGCTCGGAGCGGGCGGTGAAAACGGGCGCTGTTGGCGAAAGGCTGAAGGAAGGGTCCAACATTAACAAGTAAATCGATTCGTATTCACTAGAGACTCGCCACTCACCACCGAATTTATTTCAGATCTCTCACAACCCTAGGCCTAGTGATATCAAAGTTGGCCGACCAGGCGGGCGGCGGCGGCAAAAGTAATCGGGACAAGTTCGTTCCGTATCGTGATTCTGTTCTCACATGGTTGTTGAAAGTGAGTGGATTTTATTTTAATAAACTGGAAATTCCGGAAGTTTTAATTTTTTTTGTTCACAAAAGGATAACTTGGGTGGCAATAGCAAGACTGTGATGGTGGCGACCGTTTCTCCAGCGGCTGACAATTTCGAGGAAACTCTGTCCACTCTGCGGTACGCCGACCGGGCCAAGAGAATCGTCAACCACGCCGTGGTCAACGAGGATCCCAACGCCAGAATCATCCGCGAGCTGAGGGCTGAAGTGGAGGCGCTCAAAGAAATGTTGAAACACGCCACGGTGAGCAACATTTCGCTACCAATTGTGAGTAAAGAACATACAACGGGACAGTAGACACAAAAGTTATAAACTAACCACCTAGTTGCTTGGTAGTGGTGCAACTTTTGTAAGTAATAAAAAGAGATATGACTTAAAAAATATTAGCATGAAATAAAAACGGATAAGAAAAGTCGACTGTTAACCCTGAGTTCTTTACTTTTTATTATTTGGATATTTTGATTGGACTTTATTAAATTTCTCAACTCTTTCATCTTTCATTTTGAATTACTAAAATTAATTACCTAATTCCTTTTGCAGGGTTATTGGAAAGTTTGAATTTACCCACTTAAATAATTTTTTTCTCTTACAGGGCTCAGCTGGCTCACAGGTGGTTGATAATGTAAGTGTATTCCCCACAGTTTTATAGCCAAGGCTCTACTGTAATTTTTTTACTTTTTTCCAGAGGGAAGATTTGCATGCAAAGTTGAGTGAGAGTGAGAAACTGATGAAAGAGATAAGCCAAACATGGGAGGAAAAGTTGATGAAAACCGGTACGTTAGAGTTGGCCAACTTTTTTTGCAATTCTATTTGAAAATCAATCTTTCACTTTTGCGCAGAGCGACTGCAGGTTGAGAGGCAGCAGGCGTTGGAGCAGATGGGAATTTCTGTACAAGCCTCCGGCATCATGGTCGAGAAAAACAAATACTACTTAGTCAATCTGAACGCTGATCCCTCCTTGAATGAGCTCCTTGTCTACTACTTGAAGGTTTGCAAGTTCTTTGTTGTGTGAACGAGATGTGCTAAATTTGATTGCATTCTTCAGGATCACACTTTAGTAGGTCGAAAGGAAGCACAGGTCGAGCAAGACATCCAGCTGTCTGGTTTAGGCATCCAACCTGAGCACTGTGTGCTCACAGTGGAAGACGAAAAGCTGTACATCATTCCTCTCGAGGGTGCTCGTACTTATGTGAATGGCTCCCCCCTCACTGATAAGACACTGCTCCACCACGGAGACAGACTGCTCTGGGGAAACCATCACTTCTTCCGTGTCAACTGTCCAAAGTCTACAAGTGAGTGGATAAAAAATAACTGATATTTTGTAAATAAAACTTTTGCTTTTTCCAGCATCCGCCAATTCCGAGCCTCAGACTCCTGCCCAACCCATAGATTATAATTTTGCAAGAGAAGAAATAATGTTGAATGAAATGAGTAACGACCCCATCCAGGCAGCTATTGCCAAAATTGAAAAGCAGCACGAGGAGGACAAACAAGTGGCGCTCGAAAAGCAACGCCAGGAGTACGAGCGTCAGTTCCAGCAGCTGCGAACGATTCTGTCCCCTTGCACTCCGTACCCACCTTATGTGCCATTTGACCCCTTCAGACCGGGAAAAATTACCCCCTGCACTCCGGGGACCACCCAGATGAGAGTGGAAAAGTGGGCTCAAGAGAGGTGGGTGTTTTTTTCCTTCCTGAAATAACAAAATAATTAATTCCTTATTGATTACAGAGATGAAGTTTTCAAACGATCTTTGGGCCAGCTGAAAGCCGACATTGTCAAGGCCAATTCCTTAGTGCAGGAAGCAAACTTCCTGGCTGAAGAGATGGAAAGACAAACTAAGTTTAGTGTTACCCTCCAAATCCCTCCTGCAAATTTGAGCCCGAATCGCAAAGTATGGTTATTTGAAAAAAATTAAACCTTTTTGTTCTAATTGGTGTTTTTCTATTCAGCGTGGTAGTTTTGTGAGTGAGCCAGCCATCCTAGTCAAGAGGAAAGGTTATGGAAGCCAAGTTTGGTCCATGGAAAAGCTAGAAAATAAGTTGATTGACATGAGGGAATTATACGAAGAAAGTAAAACTATCCCGATAAGAGTAATTATTGTCAACTTAATACGGAAGACTAAATAATAAATTATTTAACTTAGGAGGACGGATCATTTCGAAATTTGGAACTAGACCCGTTTTTTGAGTCTCAGGAGAATCATAATGTGATAGGAGTTGCCAACATCTTTCTAGAGAGTTTATTTCATCCAGTCCGCTTAAGTTATCACACACCAATTATTAGCCAACAAGGAGAAGTTGCTGGCCGATTACACGTAATAAACTGCTATTATCATTAAGCAAGGTTAAATAAAATGATTTACCTCCTCAGGTTGAGCTGAGCAGAATAGCCGGTTCATTCAGTCCAGAGATTTCCGAAACCACAACTTCTGAAAACTCGAACGACAGTGAGGAATTCACAAATCCGACACCAACAGTGACCATCAGGGTCAACATCAAGCAAGCTGCCGGTTTGCCACCATCTCTATCAAATTTCGTATTCTGCCAATACACCATTTGGGGCCACCCAGTCGTGGTTGCCCCGATCGACTCGATCCTCAACAACAACAACATTGACGATGACCAGCAATCCTCAAATGACGCACCGCAGACAGTTTTTAATTTTGACCACACAATGGACTTCACCATTCCCGTCACAGAGGAATTCGCAGAGCACTGTGCAGAAGGCGCACTTTCCATCGAAGTCCTTGGCCATAGATCACCAGGTAAATGTGAAAGTAATCAAAATTAATGAAATAAATAATTAAATACAAAGAGGAAAACAATTTCTTATAATAATTAATTTTCAGGCTTCTCTCCAAGAGCCAAGCCAGGCTGGGAGGTTGAGCAGAGGCAGCTGGCCAAGGTGCGTTCCCTGGCTGACCGCTGGAGCGAATTGACTAGGAAAATTGAGCTCTGGGTGGAAATTCTTGAGTTGAACGAGCAGGGCGAGTACACACCTGTTGAGGTCCAGTCTCGGGAAGACATGCTGACAGGCGGCATATTCCAACTGCGGCAAGGCCAGCAGAGGAGAATCGAGGTCAGTGTGAAACCAGTGCAGAACTCGGGAACGCTTCCCATCATCTGCGAAGCCATCACCAGTATTGCTGTCGGAAGCGTGTGTGTCCGATCAAGGCTGCAAAAGCCATTGGACTCGTACCAGGAAGAGGACCTCTCTGTTCTAAGGGAAAAGTGGAGCGACGCCCTGATGAGACGGCGACAGTACCTTGACCGACAAATCCAGAGGATTGTCAATAAAGAAGGTAGGAAAGGAAATCTGATCAAGGATGAATTTTGATAATATTTAATTCCAAATGCGACCTCATGTTTGTTCACAATTTCTAACTATTATTTATATTTCTCAGGGAAAAGTGAAGGAGATGTTGAAAGGGAGCAGAGTTTAATGGCGCAGTGGATGATGCTCACTGAGGAGAGGAATGCCGTTTTGGTTCCTTCGGCCGGTTCCGGAATCCCTGGCGCTCCCGCAGACTGGGACCCTCCTCCGGGAATGGAGCCTCACACTCCTGTACTCTTCTTGGACCTTAATGGTAAGTTTCCCTAATAATTTTTTGACTCTTTGAAACATTAAATCAATTTTCTAGCTGATGATCTCAGTATTCTAAACGATGGAGAGGAGTTGACGGTCTGTGGCCTGAACTCAATTCTTCCCAAAGAGCACGGCAACAAATTCTACAGTTTGCCCATATTGAAACAGCAGGAGAAAGATGTGAGTGCTGTTGCGGCGTGGGACTCGTCCCTGCACGACTGCTTGCACTTAAACAAAGTCACCGAAGGTACAGATTTTTTGCAGAAATATTAAATATTTTGGTCTAAATTTAATTAATTTCAGCCAACGAGAGAGTGTACCTGATCCTGAAAAGCATAGTCAAGCTTTCGCACCCAGCACCAATGGAATTAGTGCTGCGGAAGCGACTGGCCTTGAATGTGTACAAGAGGCAGAGCATCACGGAACGGTTGAGGAGGAAAATCGTGCGAGCCGATTTGCTGCAGCATTGCGGAGTGACTTATGAGCTGGTCTCAAACATTCCAAAATCCAGCGAAGAACTTGAAGATCGAGAGAGTTTGGCGCAAATGGCAGCCACTGGAGAAGAGACCTCAGACTTCAACGAAGGCGACACCTATATTGGTAATAAAAACTTTCAATAATTTTGTAAAAACATCATTCACAATGAATTCCACATATCTTTCAATATTTCAGAGGAAAAAAATCATTTTAACAATATATTCTGCATATTTAAATTTAGTGGAGTTTTTTTCACCATTTTTTTTTTTATTTAAATTTAACAATTGATCTATTTATTTTGTAAAAAAAATTATAAAATTAATTAAAAATTCTTCTTCAGAACAATACACCAGAGGAGTCAGTGCAGTTGAGTCGATCCTCACTCTCGACAGGCTGAGGCAAAACGTTGCTGTTAAAGAACTCCTTCAGGCTCAGGGACGGCCTCTCATGAGAAAGACGGCCAGCGTTCCCAACTTCTCACAGGCATGTGTTTATTTCGCATCTTTTTTATCATAAATTAATTGTTTCTTTCTTTTCGTTACAGCTCTTCAATTTGTCCGACGGACCAACTCGGTCTGAGAGTTTTGCAGACCTGGCCGCGGAACTGAGCGGGCCATTGCGTGAGATCAGTGTTCGCTCAGGTCTGGGCAGTTTTAAGCCTGACCTGGACTCGAATATGAATAGCACTTCGGCAACCACTCCGTTGTCCAGTAAACCCTTCGGCCTCGGTAAGTTGCCTGTTTCGTTGTGTTTCTTTTCCTTTTGTTAGATATATCAGGTAGGCCCCTGAACCACCGCTGAATGATTTATACATGATTATTACTGAACAATATACTCTCAATCAGTCTCACCTCCACCCTTGGCCATTGATGACTCTGTCATATATATTCTGTCTATACTCTGCCTGCACCTCTCAGATTCGACTCAACGAGCACGCTATTGCTCCTTCATTCTGGAACAAACAAAAAAACGCCAGTCTGGCTGAAAATTTAATAAATTATTAATTTCTCTTAATAAGGATTTGCAGATTTTCAGCCCGACTTGTTTTTTTTTTCTATATAAATCAATCTGCTAAACGCTGCTAGTCTAAATAATCCGCTCATCACGCACTTTTGGCTCGCAACAGGGCCTGAAAGCGCGTTTTCTCAATGTGGCATAACTAAATTAAGCAAACTGTTATAAATAATTACACGCAGTTGCTCATCTCAGCATCTGAATGGTTTACTGGCTATGCTGCTCTCACTCCAGATTTGTTTCTTTTCAGCTTCTTGTGTTGTCGACAGCTTTTATTCGAATGATTATTTTAGACAGACGATTTGTTTGTTTTTTTACCATCCATATCAACCGATCGGACTCTCCCGTACACCCCTCCCTGAAATTTGAAGTGGTCTCTCTGTTAGACAATTTTTCTTTTGCCTGAACTTTGGTGCACAAGCTTTTTTCCGGCTTGTGCAGCACAGTGTCTGGTTTGATCAGGAATCTTGCCTCAAACGGAAGGGAGCACTTGAGTTAATTTTTCTATATTTTTTACTCTTTCAATTGACAGTAACTTTTTACACAAAAGGTTTTCTATCTGAATTCTATTTTATGCTGAATGATAATTTTCCCTCTTCGGTGTTTCTCACAATTTAAAATCTGAATGTGTCCTTTAAGTATTTCTATTTCACCCAAGGCCCGTTTTATATAAATTTTAGAATTTAAAAAAAAAACCATCCAGTACGCAAGACAACAAAATGTGTGTTGGACGCAAGCAGGAATTACTTTGCTATACCCTTAGATTTACTTATTAAATTATTGTATTATTGTGTTGAGACATTAGCTCATTATCAGTAAGCAGAATTTGCGATCGGTGGTGTTATATAATTCAAGTATTTTATATTATTAACTTGCTTGAGCTGAGAAGTAATTTTTCGATTGTTATATTTGATATCTATAAAAATATAAGAGCAGACGCTAATTTTGATTTTTCTTTTGAATCGCTTTTACGTTGAAATTTTGAATAACTTGTGTACACAATTATATTACCGTTTTTGTTTTCTTCTTGCTCCCTAGGCGCCATATTAACAGGTAAAAAGGCTGGCGCATATCGCGGCCTGATGTGTTCATGCCTGCATGGCTCTAAATTTGACTTTTGCCATTCCGGATCGATGTCTCCCTTTCTCTCTTTCTTCAATCCCTGTATACTCTAGGTGCATGCGTTCATTGACCCCATTTGCCAACTTTATATTTGACTGTGCGTCGTAGAAATTGGTCGGTGTTTGTTGGATAATTAAATATATATTAATTATGGCATGTGAATTCGCAACTGTTAATTGTATCGAAGTATATCGTTGAGGAAAAATTTGTTAGATCTAAATTTGGTTGGTGTGATGCAGAAAAAAAGAGTGCATTTTCTGATGGCTATTACACATATTTTACATTGTTTCGTTGAAACAGAAGCTTCCAGTTGCTTTTGCGCATTAGAGACATATTTTCATTCATCACTCTTTGGAGACCGGTTTTTCATTATACTTTATAATATATTGTGTAAAAAGCAAAACAAACTTATTTCATTATTATTGCTCTCTCACTTTTTAATCGAACGTTTTTTCAATTTGCAACAATTTAATACAAAGATTTCTGCAATGATCATGAAATCAGAAAAACTTGCACAAATAAAAATTGTAGGGTAGGAGTAGTTGAGTCAAAACATCGTTATATAATAAAATTAATTTCGTTTTGTCAGTTTGCTAGGATGGTCTTACTTGAATATCACGTATATTTGGTGTCTTATCGATTAGGCAGAAGGCAAAGTATAATCGGTAGTGCCCACTTCTTTGTGTGCTGGTCCTTTAAAGTTATAGCTTGGCAAAAATACGTTACATTTTGCAAATTTAACAATTACATGAATTAAATTGCAAGCAAAATTAAGTAATTTTGGCAAGTTCTTCCTCTTTCCTTGGTTGCATAGTGCAAAAATCCAAATTCTTGCAAGTAAACTCTCATTAAAGTATTATATTTCAATTAAATCTATAGAGATACCTTGCAATAATTTGATTTTCCGATCCTCTTTTGTTGCCCTCCTCTCTGTTTCCTCACCAGCAAAACCCAAATTGTCTTTGTATAGCTTTAGTCTTGAACAGAATTGGCAGAATCAGTTTAATTCGAACAAATTAGATCTCACTTCTCAATAGCGTGTACTTGACTGGGGAATGTTAAGTTTGATCTGTGGCATGGTAAGACCAACCTAGACTTATAGTAAATCATAATATATACAAAATAATTTAAAATATAGTTTTTGACAAAATAAATTGTTTCAGTCGTTTAGTGTTTTTAATTTCCCTTTGTAAAGAAATAGTGAAAACAATGTGTCCAAAACACACTGGAGATTTTTTCCCTAATTCACTGGAAAGTGTACAGATTAAATAAATTAACAATACCAGTTTAGGACGTTTTACATTTTGTACAAAGACGCATCGGTTCTCTCGCACACACAACAAACCAAAAATGCTCACTTGCGCTTGCTCGACTTAATTCTGGTGTCGTCTTCTCCATTGCAGCTAGGCCAACTTTCCTCAACTTGAATTTCAACCTTAACTCTCTGCGACTTCAGCCGACTGGAGCCAAATGTACGTGTGTGTCCGTCAAAGTGTGTCCCATATCTTTTGTTTTCACTTCTGTTTCTTTTCCTCCCTCTCTTTTATTTACATTTCACAAACCTGTATTATTTATTTATATTTGTGTTTAGGCATGCTTTCTTTGTGCAGTTATATATATTTAATTTTTATTATTTTCAGTTTTTATTAATTTTGTATCGTTTGAATTATTAATAATATGATTATATTTTGTAAAGATTGATTTGGACATTCGGACAGTTAAAATCAGGAAAATTGAAATTAAATTCCTTTCAGCTTCTCCAAACCCAACTGCTGGCAAACTGGGGCTCAGAATGAGCACTTTGCATGAAGAGCAGCCTGGTGGGGAAAACTATGGAGGCAACGGTGAAGGTGATCTCGAGGAGGAGGATGAGGACGAGGAAGACGAGGAGGAAGTCGACACTGAGGAGGTAATTTTCTTTCAAACCTCTCCAGAAAATCCAGCTAATTTTCTTTCCAACCCAGATGCACCGTCAGACTGCAACAGCAATGTCGACCTCTCAAACCGCAGAGTCCTTGTCTGAGTACATTTCCCACAGCAGCACCGTCAGCAACAGCAACAAAAACGGCAGCACTCCTAGCACAGCATCCAGGTAAATAAAATTTGAAATAAAATCCCAAATAATAAGTTAATTTGCTCATGTTCTAATTAATATGGACAGCAAATTTAATTCAATAAAATGAGTTGGATCATAAATTACTAATATTAGTTTGTTCATTTTAAATCACATTTATATTTTATTAAGTTTTAAACAAATATTTTTTTTTTTTCATTTTAGTGGTTACGGAAGCAATTACGGAGGTGCCCTGACCAGTGAAGACTCTCTTTCTCTGCAAAGTGTAGAGTGCGAGTGCACTCCAAACGAAATTGTCGAGCAGCAAACTACCAACACTCAGCCCCCTAAACCGGTGAGTTAACCAATACAATTTTTTTGCTTCTGTAGATAATTTTTTCTTTCAATTATCAGGATATGCAGCAAATCTCTGAGGAAATTTTGGCTGAAGAAGGAGCAGAGGAAGATGGTTGGGAGTCAAATTTGTCCTGCTCTCCGGATAACAACAACACTTCAAGTGAGTGTGGCAAAAAATTTGATGTTTTTGGTATTCGGCTCTCTTTGTAAAATTGCAAATCTGGATTTAAAGTTGACAAAATTTCACCTGCTTGGTTTCATCTTGATTTCTGCTGTAATTTATTATTTTATTTGCGCAAGAATCTCTTGTCATCTATGATGATGTAAATTTGGAATTATTAAGCTAAATCTATAATCCGGCTTCTTGAGCTGTCTCGATAGACATAAAACTGCTTTACTAACCCATGCAATAATAATATCCATGGCAGAACGGGGTCGCAAGAACCATCCTAACAGGGCGTCTTTCCCTCCCGCGCACGTTCAAAAACTGCTTGCCACTCACAACCCTCTCAGCAATTCCTCGGACCGTCTCGTGGCCGAAGGTAACGAACACTCTTCACGCCCTATCCTCACATTTCTTTGTGCGCTTCTCTTTCAAACAATAAATTGTATGTTTTGGAAACTCATTTTGTTGTGTCATATTTAGATGGATCAGATTCTCCGTACGGGTCTCGCTACAGCCTGAGTGGCTGCGGCGCCCTGCCCGACTGGATAACCGTCGGAGAAAAGGTGCTGGTCCGGCCTTACTCGCTTCCTGGCACTGTTGCCTTCATCGGAGAGACACAATTTGCACCAGGAACGTGGGTTGGCGTGGCCCTTCAATCTGCTACTGGTAAGAGAAAATTTATGTTTATTAATATTTAGTTTCTAAAAAGGCTTCAAATAATTAAATTAATTATAAAATTGACTGGTTGTTAGAAATTAACCAAATTGAAAATGTATTATACTTTACAAAATATGAAAAATTTATGCCAATTTTTTTGCAATGAAAAAAGTTTTTAAATGTCTTTAGAGTTTACAACAGTGTTTCAATACTTTAATTAATTTTTCAAAATAATTTTTGAGTAAATAAGAATAAAGAGCATTTTTATATTTTCATATCAATTGTTTCTATTTTTAGGAGGAAAAAACAATGGCACTGTGCAAGGAGTCAAATACTTCGAGTGCCGACCTAAAAGTGGTCTCTTTGTTCGGCCGGACAAACTTTTGCCTGACAAACGAGGACTCACCTTAAGAGCTACCCCTCCTAGCAGTGGAATGAAGCGGAGTCTCAGCAGAGGTACATAATATATTTAAAGAGATAAAAATCATATTAAACAAGTTATGTGTAAATTTAACTTTTAACTTTAACTTGCTCAAATTCCTATTAATAAAAATAAATAAATCTTTTATTGTTTTAGGGGACAACCTTTCAAGGAGTCGGGGAGAGGGTCTTCACAGGGCAAAGTAAACTACTGCATCACTTCAGTCATCCGGCAGTATTTTTAACCATTCAATGGCTCAGATCTTTCATGGCTAGAAGTTAAAATTATGTGCATACTATAGCTTGAAGGTTTCGCAGCAGCAGCAAGCATGTAATTAAGTCCGTGTTGTTGTTGTTGTTGCCGGAAAAGCTAGGCTTGATTGCGAATCACATTGGACAAAAATTTTGATAGGCAAAAATTTATTTTCAACGAGACTGAAATCGAAAGATTTTTCTTCTTTATTAAGTATATTGTGAAATCACAAAAAAAAATGGGTGCTTTTGGTGTTAGAAAAAGGAAAAGCAAGGCATCGAAATTGGCCTCGTGGTTGTTTTGTCCGTTCTGAGTGAAAAACACACGAAACCTCCTGGGAAGGGAGGTGAATTCTGTATAGGGAGAGTAATATTCGTAAAAATTTGTGTCCCCTCGTGGTGACTTTTAAGAAAGGAGTGAAAAAAAGTAAGTATCAGACGTCCACTACTTGGGAGAAATAAATCTATATCTTAAATCGCAGTCCTAAAAACGGAACTCATCCACAATCCGGCTTTTGCTTGAGAGCAAATTCCCTTTTCCAGAGTCCGTTTAGAAAAATTAAGAATAACCGAGACAACTTTTGACTTCACGCATGTGTTACAAACAAATCAAATACATATGTACGGTATAGAAATATTTATATTTTAGGAAAAAAGTGTCAGCCTCAATCCAACCTGTAAAATTAAAAATACCGAAAGAGAATGAACACTTTTCTTGCCTTGCGTTTAATTGTTCGTCATTTTCATACTTGTACATTGAATTGATTCATCTATATTAGTTTTAAATAATAACATAATATATTCACCCATCCAGCTTTTTAAGCGTTTACTTTGTGATATTTTGATTTTCAAATGCAATTCACTACTTGAGTGTTAAGTGTAAAATCCAAAATCAAAATTTAAAATTTTGTTACATTATTATTGACAACCTAAGCGTATATTATAATATCTGTCCAAGGCAGTTTCCGATTTGGCAGAGTTTTATTTTTTAATACAATCACAAACTCACATTGCGTAGATCTCTGGAAAGTATACACACGACACACATTATATACTTGTAGATAAAATACTTACAAAGCACATTCCAAAATTAGCAAAATAAGCAAATTGATATACTTATTATCTAATGCAGCTGGATATTTATTCGCTTTGACTAATTTGTGGATTTTTTTTCATTATTGCTACGCTGACTTGAGCTTACTCACAAAATTAGTTTTAGTTAACCTTATATACTGCGTCAACTGTGTGTAAATAAATCTGGAAAATTGAATAACAAAATCTGTGTCCAGTCGTGCTTAGCAATTTTTGAAATCGACTCGCGATTGAGTTTGCTCCCTATGTAAGTGAAGGAATTAATTGGTTGTGATGGAAATCGAAAGGCGCCTTCTTGCTCTTGTTATGTACTGCTATGTTCCCTTGCACTCGTTATGGAAAATTGAAAAACTTTTCAGTTGTGCGCCGCGTATTTGTACGATTGTTTTCATGATCATATTTTTATGAATCGATCATCTCCTGTACAACTATATTACGGAAAGTGCAGGAAAAGTATTTATTTGGAAAACTTTGAACCAACTCCTTAAATTATTAAGAATCGTGTATAATGCCACAAAATATCTATATGTTGTAGTTTATTTCCTATGTCAATAAATGTGTTAATAAACTCTTAAAAAATCAAGACTCAATTAATAATGTTGCCTTACTAAAATTTACTTATTATAAAAGTTATATAGTTTTTTTTCAGATAATAATTGTGTGATGTGTTGCTTATTTTTATTATTATTTTTTTTTTAAAGAATCACCAGAAAATTACATTTGCATCATTTATTTAATTTGCATCTTTAGAATTACATTAAGAATCAACAAGTTCCAATGTGTTTGCATACTGAAGCTCGGTGCTGTTTTCATATTCACACATGTCCAAGGCAATCTAAAAAAGCAAATTGTTGTTTAAGTTTTTAGTAGTTTTTGGTTACTTTAGATTTCAAGTAAAAAAGATTAATTTTTTTAAATTATATTAAATACAATCAACGTTCAAAATTCATATCCTACATACCTCGCAACTTTCTCGGACAACTCTAATTTCATCTTCAAGGAACCCTTCAAGGACTTTCATTGCTTTCTCGGTGGCAATCGCCCCTAGAGCTTCTGCACACTCGTGCCTGACCATTTCATCCTGCGACTTGTCCTCCAGCCCCTGTATCAAAGCATCAACGGCAATTGGTTCCTGAATTTGTCCCAGCACAAAGGCCAGCTCGTGCCTGAACAGCGCCCCTCCGTACTTAAGTCCTATACAAATTTAAAACAAATAAATATATTTCAAATAAAAATTCATCACTTTAAAAACCTTCACTCAAAATTTTGGTTGATTCTTTAGAGTTGATGTTTCTCAAGGCAAAAAGTGCTCTGTATCTTTCGTACAAGTCGGTCGATTCACTTAAAAGTTTCTCTCGCAAGCTGCACAGGTTTCGTTCCTCGGACGCTGGTGTTGGGTCGACCGAACCAAAAAAATCATCTTTTCCTCCTTCGTTGCCACTTCTGACCCATTCTATCCTTCTGATGGCCAGCTGACAGGTTTCAGCTACTGGCACGGCCTCGTCGTTGGCAAACTCTTTCAAAAGAGGAAGGACGTGATCCTTTCCAATCGCACCCAGACCTTCAGCTAAATTGAAAAATAATTTTTAATTCTATATGTTGATGTTATGTAATGTTTTTAGTTGTTAATTTAATTTTTTACCAGCTTCGTGTCGGACCATTGGATGTTCATTTTTATCCCTGAGAACGTCCTTTAAAATTGGAATGGCTAAGTGGTCCTGCATTTGTCCGAGGCAGTAGGCGAGTTCGTGCTTCAAGAGAGCCGAAGGGTCGTCAAAGGCCTTCTTGATGCAGTCAATGGCAGTGGCACCGCCGATGTTTTTCAAAGTGAACAAAGCTCGAAACCGCTCTTTCAGGGGCCTGTCTGGGTTGTTCAGCACGTCCCCTATTTTCAAAATTTTGCTGTCGTCGACCTCCGGCATGTTTTGGTCGGTATATTTTTTAGGAATTATAAAATGTTGTTTGAAAAGGAACAACGTGAGCATAAGTCAAAGTGTAAGCATAAGCATATGCCGTTAAGGGGGCGTATGGGCGTAACCGCTAGATAACGTAGTAAAATTAAGGAGACAGCTCAGACTAACAAATCATTTTTAATTAGACTTTAGAGATCACGAATGACATAAATTTAGTAAGAGTGAATAATTTTGAGTTTTTTTATGCTGGAAGCACTTTTATTTAAGTTTTAATTCATGATTCAAACAATAAAATCAAGAACCATTCCCTTAACTCCCTCCTTAACTCTCGCCATAATAGAAGAATGCAACAACAGAGGCCGCGGTCCAAACCTCGCGCACTATGCCCTAAACACTAAAACCTCCTTGGTTTTAGGGCGCGTAGTCCGCATCCTTTGCACACTAAAGGGGGCGGATCCACACTAGGTGAAGTGCGTAGGGTAAAATTTTGGACCGCAGCCGAATGTTGGAAGAATGCATGCAGCGCCCACAAAAGGCAGCGCCACTGGGCTGGGCTCACGTCACAGCTCAGAACTTCACCATCATGATCTTTTATTAGGTTGATTTCAAATGATATTTTTTTTCACAATTGTTAACATTTTATTTATATTTAAGATTAAAATATTTAAAAATGTAATGTAGATGAGGTAGAACATTGAAATGTAGCCAAACTAATAATATAGTTCAATAAAATAACTTTCTTCAGTTGGTGTCTCTGTTTGTCATGACGTCACGTACACTTATCATCCATCAAAAACAAACCTGGAGAAGAGAGAAAGAGAAGGAAAACTCCACGACAAACGACGGAAAAATCGAATTTACTAAATTTCTTGCCTGAATTTGCGTTTTCTCTTCGTGTAAATCAATCCTTCCGATCAAATTGCAGTTGAAACTGAAATGGATTCTGGAGCTGGACCCTCGACGGCCTCGTCTTCGAACGCGAGTTTCAAGGACAAGCAGGCAGAGAGAATGAAAAAGTTGCGCGACCTACATCAAAAAAGGGTATAATAAACGAAAAAAACATTAAAATTTATTTAATTGAAGATGCTTTTAATACATAGTGTGATTTTTATTTAATAATTAAAATCGTTCCAAATAATTGGCATCCATAGTTGTATTTCTTACACACAACACTCACGTTCAATTTTCACTTTCTAGAATGAGGCCCGACAACAAAATCATCATGAGGTGGTAGAGGAAAACAAAAGGAAAAATCTTCCCAGCAACTTTGAAGCCAGAAAGCGCAGGGCTGAGTGGATATTGAAAGATGATGATGCAAGGAAAGAAGCGCAGGAAAAGGTGAAAACTACTTATACATACATACACCAGTCTGTACAGTCTTATATTTTTGCTGGTTAAAATTTAATTCAAGCATTAAATACAAAACGTTTTAAGTTGTTTGCAAAAATTCATTGAATTTTAATTTCTTTCAGGGTGAAGACTTTGACAGAGTCAAACTGCTTACAGTTGGTGCTGACGATGCGGCCAAATTGGACAGGAAAAAGAAGAAAAAGAATCCTGACCAAGGATTTGCGGATTACCAACAAGCCACAATTAGGTACATTTTATTCCAAAAATGTTTTCAGAATCACTATAATTATTAGCTTCATAATTGGATAAATTGTCGCATTAAATAAAATGTCTTCAATTTTATTTGAACAAGTAGATAGAAAGCTTAAAAAAATTGTGATTTTTGTAATCAAATAATTGTTTTGTTTTGCCAGGCAATACACCCGTTTGGTAAATAACATGAAAGTCGATCATGATCAATACGAAAAGCAGAAGGAAAAGCTTGGTGAAGATGTTTTCTACGGCAAACAGAACACCATTTTGCATGGACTGCACAAAGACTCCAAAGAAGGCATTGATCGCATGGTCGAAGATTTGGAAAAACAGTACGTTTTCTTTATTCTTATGTTGCTCAGTAATAATTTTTATATCAACAATGCAGGATTTCCAAAAGAGAGAAATATAGTCGCAGGAGAATGCACAACGACGATGCTGACATTGACTATATTAATGAGAGGAACATGAAATTCAACACCAAGCTGGAACGCTTCTACGGAGAATACACCACGGAGATCAAGCAGAATCTGGAGCGAGGAACTGCTGTGTGAATGATAATGAAAAAACATTCAAGCAAACTATGTGTGTTATACAATTTGTATATTAAGATTCATGTTGGTTTCTTTTTTATTAATGTTAGTAATTTAAGTTAGAAGTTTGTAATGGAGAAGAAGGTACTGCAAAGAATAAAGTAATTTTTTTTTATAATTAATCATAAACAATGAACCTGCAATGAACTAAATATTTTTGATAGAATACTAATTAATATTGATATAATAAGGATAATAAGTTTTTGGAGAAAATAAACTTATATAGCTATTTATACAAAATTTATTGTTATGTATTCCAAAATTTCAAATTAAGCAGCAAGAATATTAATTTTTCCTCAAGTGCTCTCCACTTCTTGAGCAGACTGCGTTTATATAAAAAATTAAAGTTTCAAAGTATATTATAAATTTCAGCAGTAAAAATGGTAAAATTATTGTTTCATTGTCACAAAAAAATGACTAACGTTGTTGCAGCCACGCCCACAGCCGCACCCACCCAACCACCCATCCAGCCAAAACAGAATTAATCAAGTGTGTCAATTTTGGTGGACAGATTCTCTGACAGGCAAGTTTTAATTTTAGTTTGGAATCGCTTGCCACGAAATTTCGATTCTTTCGCAATCGGAGGTTGAATTTTGACGCTTTCCGTCTGTGATTTCTTGGCTTCCAGACTTTCCAGAGCGAGTCTGCCTTCCAACATGGCATTCCTGATGTACGGCGACCCGAAGGTCAAATACCTGTGCTCGTGCGGCTCGCTGAAGCCCATCTCGCGAATCTACTTTTGCAGACACTGCATGAAGGTCAAGTGCGGCTTTTGCGTGTCGCACGAGGTCGACCTGCACTACTGCAGCAATTGCCTCGAGAATCTGCCGTCGACCGAGGCGCGGCTCAAGAAGAACCGGTGCGGCTACTGCTTCGACTGTCCCAGTTGCCAGATCAGCCTGAACACTCGGGCCGTCAGTCAGACCGTCCCGCACCCGGACGACCCCACCAAGACGCTGACCAAAAAGTCCTATTACCTGGTCTGCGCCTTCTGCCGCTGGTCTTCGAGGGAGGCGTCCATCCCCGACCAGAGCGTGGCCACCGGTGGCTGGCCCGAGCTGAAGAGTCCGCACGCCAAACGGGTTGCAGACCTGGTCGAGCACTACCAGGACATCAGTGTCCAGGAGAAGGAGGAGGAGGAGAAGAAAAAGAAGTTCCAGTCGCGGCCGGCCTACTTCCACTACGCAGAGAAGTACGGACTGAGTGCGGCCGTGGCCCGTAAGAGGCTCAGCAACCTGCCGCAGAGGGAGAACAAGGTGCACCAGTCCACCGTTGAGCCCAGCAAGGCCACCGAGGAGGTAGACCAGCTGCCAGACGAGGTCTTCTTCGAGCCCATCCGCCTCAGCCAAATTACGACGGTCAAGCAGAGGCTGGCCTGTCCCGAAGTGCAGCCCATTGATGTCTCAAATCTGCACCCCATTCACAAATCTCTGCTGGTGATTATTCTTTTTTTATTTAAATAATGAAACATAAAAGATCATAATTAAAATTGACTAAACCAAACGCTTATAATTTGTCACTTAATTAATTTATTTACTTATTTTTCCTTCAAATTTTATTCCAAATAGTAAATAATAATCATTGTGAGACTTTGTTTTACTTTAAATTAAAATTAAAGGCAAAAATACATTACGTTTCAGGTCAAGAGGTCACTTCGTTGTCGTGACTGTGAGCACAACGTGAGCAAGCCCGAATTCAACCCCTCTTCGACCAAATTCAAAATACAGCTGTCCGCCTTCTACCACGTGCCTGACATCAAATTCCTCACCTGCGAGCCGGTCTTCATCGGCAAACGCAGCGAACTGATCATCACCATCTGCAACCCGACGCAGCACCAGACCAGCTTTAAACTGCACCCCTTCGAGTTAGCCCTGTTGTCTCCGAAGCTGAGTGAGGACGAAGAGGAAGCGCCTCCGACATTGAAATTGTCCCTCCCGGACAGCGCCCGGGACGCCCAGTTCCAAATCAACGGCACCATTAAACTGCCTACCACCGAATTCCAACTTCTGCCCAGAGACGATACGGCTGAGTTTGATGATTCCAATAAGGGGCCGACCTTCAACGACGACCCCAAGGTGGTCGTCTGGAGGAGGGGAAATAAAATCGCGCTCAGAATGGCTGTGATGCCCAACCAGGAGGCTGAGGGTCTCTTGTGCGTTGGCTTTGCGATGGAGTACGGCTACGTCAACACAATGACCACCTTGGAGAAGAAGGAGCCGCAGAAGGTCAAACTCAGGGCCCACATTGTGCTGCACACGGGCCAAATCTTCAAGAGCTCCCAATAAATCTATTGAATTTTTTTCCTCTTTTTTTGCAACTATTTATATATTTGTTATTTATTTACTAAATTCGCACTTCGAATGGAAGCCAAGAAATCAGACTGAGTGTTGGATAGTTAAAAAGAAAAATGGACTCAAAAATGATTATTACAGCAATGGCCGATGTGACCGGATTGAGTGATGCCGAGGCCAAGAAGTTTTGCCATCAGCCTGATCCATCAACAAAAGTAATTTTTTTTCTACTTTATAAGTAAATTTCCAATGGTAAAATTAAAATTATTTATATCTACAGGAATTCATATTCCAACAAACAATGTACCGCATTAAAGACCCAAAGAAGTCGCTTGAATTTTACACCCAAGTCCTGGGAATGAGCCTTCTCGAGAAGCTGGACTTCGAGGAAATGAAGTTTTCCCTGTACTTCATGGGATACGAGAACCTCGACGAAGCTCCCGGAAACCGAGCGGAGCATCTAAAGTGGACCTTCACTCGCAAAGCTACACTCGAGCTTACCCAGTAATAATGCAAAATATAGGATCCAAGTTAAGAAACTAGATTAATCTATTTTCAGCAACTGGGGCTCGGAGAATGATCCTGACCAAACCTATCACAACGGAAACAGTGACCCCCGCGGCTTTGGACACATCGGCATCACCGTCCCAAATGTGGAGCAGGCATGTGAGCGCTTTGAAAAGCTAGGAGTCCAGTTTGTCAAGAAACCCAATGATGGTAAAATTAATATATAAATAAAAAATTGTGACATTCGGAGTAAATTAGTCAATATTTTTTAAGTAAAAACAAGTAAACTTCATCCTCATTTTTTTTCAGGCAAAATGAAAGGCTTGGCATTTATCAAGGATCCCGACGGTTATTGGATTGAGATTTTGTCCGCCACCAACATGGCTTCCATTTAACCACACCACAGCAGCTTATCAGACTATGGTACTTTCTATTTATATTAAAGTTGAACGCTTTTTCACTTGAAATTTACAAACTTTATTCAATAATTAAAAAAAAAATCAGACATCCATAAATAGAGATTTTGGCCTCGGTGTGATTTGGGGCGTGTTGTTCCGGGAAATTTTTGTACTTTGTTGGAGTTGTTGGACGGCCTCATCGCGCTCCTCTCTCAATCGGCCTAGCTCGAACCTCAGCTCCTTCAACCTGTGGCTGAACTTCTCAGCCATTTGTCGCATTTCTGATTTGCTCCTAAAATTTTTGTCATTCAGGTATGTTTAAAATTCTTTCAAAGCTCACTTTTCGCTTATTTTTTGGTGAGAGGAAATTATGGCGCTCAGCTCCTGCGTAGTTGCCTTGGTGCTTTTCTCCATTTCCTTGACCCTCCATGCAAACTGCTGCTCCCGGAGGCTCAGGTCTTTGGCTAAATTTGACTCTCTAACTTTGGAGTGCTCAAGCTCGAGCGCCAAAGAGGACACCTGTTTCTCCAGAATTTTGCATGTCTCCGTAACCCTGAGCTCATTCATCCGCCATCTGAATTCCAGAATTATTAAAAATTTAAAATTTCTTTCTCAAATACATAACAAACCATATTTATAAATTTAAAAAGTACTCAATTTTTAATTTCAATTAATTAAAAAGGAAATTTGATCTTTCTTTTGAAGAATTTTACGGCAGCTCAAATCTTGCTTAAATTTCTCACCTGTCGCTTTCTTCGGCGTAATTCTGCTGCACAAGCTGTGCCTTCCTTTCAGCCACGCTGCACCTCTTTTCCATGTCCCTGAGCTGCGCCTGGACGGCGTGGAGTTTCGGCTCGAGGGACGACTCTCTTGACCTGATCGAGTACAACTCTTGCGCTTTCTGCTCGACAAGCTGCTCGGCCTGTTTTTGCGAGTACATCGCCTTTTCAGCCTTGTTCTTGTACTCTGATCCCTCCTAAATTTGCAAAAAATCAGTGAATTCATTTGTTTGGGAAATTAATAACTGCACCTCTTGGCTTTTTTTCACGTCAGCCAAAATACTCTTGACGTGCAGGTTGCACTGCTGCTTCACCTGCTCCACTTCCCGTTTCACCTGCTGCTTCGCGTCTTGCGTCAAATCCTTCAAAGCGTTTTCAAGTCTCAAAATTTCCTCTAAAAAAAAAACAATTGCAATTTTAGTTGAAATTTTAAAAAATAAATAAAATTGAATCCAACCTTTGGCTTTGGCCAGTTCAAAGACGGTCTGATCGCGGTTGACGCAGGCCGAGTCGACAAGGGTGAGTGCGTCGGCCACCTTGGATTGGCCCTCCTCGGCCTGCATGCGCATCTCCTTGAGTTGTCCCTGCAGTCGGTCGAGCGCCCTCTGCAGATCGTCCCGCTCCCTGCTCAGGCTGGACACTCGCTGCGCCACTCGGCGCTCCTCGTCCTGCCGGATTTGCTTGTCCTGCTCCAGTTCCTGCACCTGGCCCAGCGCCAGGGCCAACTGCTGGTTCAGGGCCTGCCTCGTTTCGCGCTCCTTGGACAACTCGCCTTCCAGTTCCGACCTCTGCATTCGTTCTTTCACCAACAAGGTGCGCGCCTCCGTCAATTGTGACTCGGCCACACTGTTGGCCCGCGCCTTTTCCAACCGAGTCTGAAAAAAATTTATAAAAATTTGGAAACTAAATTTGCAAATTCTGACCTCGATATTGTGTGAGGAACTGTTGAAGGAAACGTCTTTCTGCTCTTGCAGAATTTTTATAACTTTTTCTAAATTTGAAACTTCGCTGACCGCTAATCGCCAGAGATCTAAAACGACCTCTTTTTCCTGGAAATTTTTATCTTCAATTAATCGGCGCTATGAATTATTTAAATTAAATGTGTATGTTTTATACGTGTAGGGCAAGTTGCAGTTGCTGTTTTAAATTCGCCTCTTCGGTCGCGTCGTGGCTTTTTATGTCACTTTCCAGTTCTTGCTTTAGTCGATTCGATAATCTTTCGTTCTCTTTGGTCAACGAGACGCTTTCATTTTTAAGATAAATATGCTCTCTCTAAAGGAGAAAATCAGTTGGAATCAATATAATTTTCATGCATAAATTTTTGCACTTGTGTTATTGATTAAAAATTTCATGCTTTTTTATACCTGGTAATGCTCAAATAAAACTTGCAGCCCACGATTTACATCTTCATACTCTGTTAAGAGTTGTGTTAGTGGCCTGGAAATATAGCGCTGTTAAAGCATGCAGATTTTGACCCAGATTTTTTTTAATTAAAAATTTTAATTGAAAAACAGATTGGTTGCGTTGTTATAAATTTAGTAAAATCTCCAAGTTAGACTTACATGCATTTATAAAAAAAGTTATTTCAAAGTTTCAAGTACATGCATATTTAAAATAATTCCGAAAAGTTCATTCTTATTAAATTTTTTTGAGTACACGGACATACCTTTGCTGGATCTGCTCATGGTCAATTATACTTTCCAAGCCAGAAAAATTGAGTTTCCTAGAAACAGGGATGTCTTCTTTTTCAAATATTTCCTTCGGAAGACTTTTATTGTTAAGATTATCTTCGTCCAAATTGGAAGGCTCATCTTCTTCGTTAATATGTCTAACTGCAATGTAAATAATTATAAGGAAATTTGTATTTTTGATCTTAATTTGTTATTAAATAATTAAATTAAATTTTACAAGGAAAATGGAAAGTAAGTAATTATTTAGTTCAAAGAAATTGGCGCAAATCGCGCCCCTTTCGGAAAAATCAACTTTTGAAGGAATATCTCACCTATTTGCTCGTAAATTTGTTCACAACTTTTGTAGGCCATGTTAAGAAATATATGTAGAAGATTGTCAAACGTCAAAAGCGAATAAGTCCCTTCAAATTGAAGTAAAACTGAGCGGCCACATGAAAGAGTTAAGAATGCTATTTACGCGCTCTTCCGTTAAAAAACGACGTCCAGGTGGCTCGACCGCGCGCCAGTTGTGCAGCCGGCCATGCATCCGTCGGCGGAGCGCGAGAAAGCGCCCCCAACAGCCACTGCCCCGAAACTACCCCTTCATTTAAATTTAATGCTGCGCTTCCAGAGGTTTGTAAATAAATGCATTTTTCTGGTATATATAAATAAATTCGCAGAATTAGGAGAAATACTCGTGATAGAAATTAAAACGAGGTAATTTTTGCAGACAAATATATTTTCCACATATTTTTTTAACTCAAGACTCTGTTACAGAATTTTGATATATAACATCACACCACCTTATACAATTTTCTTATTAATTTCATTGCCTGCTGTGGCGTTAACAATAAAAATTTCCTCCAAAGATTTATTTCAATTTTAAGTTATTCCAGGTACAACATTTATTTAATTTTTACACATTTTTCTTGTGAATCTCGGCTGTATGATTTAATCGTGATTTTGAAACTTAATTTGTATTTTTAAGTAATTTTGTAGCGCACTTAACTGCTAGGTCTACATCTGATCTATTTATTTTTCTGGCAAGGTCAAGTAAAGCAGAAATCTACTATTGATTACTATTTTATATTATAAGACTTCTTGTTTATGTTATAAGTTCCCTATAATTTGACCACTTGCAAGAATCACATTTGATCCCACAATAAAATCCAGATTCCAAAATAGTTTTTGAAAAACTTTCAAATTTTTCTCTCATAATATTATGCCATCTGTTGTAAATGACAAATGTTTCTATTTAAAGACAACAAGACACATTATTTAAACACACTGCTCTTCAAAAGGCAATAATTTCACAATTCACAGTAGCTTTTTTTCATTTAAAAACACTTTTAAACAGTTTTTTTCCCAACAAGATAAAATTTCCTTACTTTCAACATGCAACATATTTTTTTCTAGATAACAACTTGTTGTAAAATTGAATTTAAAGCATGATTCAGTTACAATGAAATTTAATTAAAATTAAATGCCTTAAAGTATTATCCCTAAATGTAATGCTAAATATAAGCTACTCTTAGTAAGAAATATATTTTGATTAAAAACTTAAAAAATTAAGGAGATTTGTACAAATGTCATCTAGTCCTCACTACAAAAGGGATGTCCGGCAAAAATTAAGCACAACTTAAAATTCAAATCCGAAAAGCGTCATGCCAAACAACAAAGGATTTCAATATGAAAAAAATAGTGTCTCAATTTTAAGCTATGTTTTAACACCACTTGTGCTAATTTTTGAGCAGGTTTGAAGTCACATTGATAACACATCAGCTTACACACTTAAGAAAGATGTCTTAATCAAATTCACCGAACAAATTGCACAGTAAAAATTCAAATTGTCTCCTACTAAACACACATAAATGGCTGTTTTTGCTCCAGACGTCACTCACGGCCTCAACATGACTTCAACGTCCTGAAATTTAAAATAAATTTTAATTACTGAAAATGAGAAAAAAATTTAAATTACCAAAGACGTGGGTAATGACAAGTTCTTGCTGAATTCATTGAAGAGTTCCGCATGCTGGCTTGCGGGGACTTTCTTTAAGGTCGCTCCCTTGTTGAGTAAAAGCTTGAGGATCCTCAGGGTTTCCTCCTCCTTCAGCTGACTGCTGGCTTTGGCCAGAATCATCAGGGGATGCATATCATTCAAGCCCAAAACATTGACCTCGTCTCGGCTGTGGTTCAGAATCAGCTCTACAAGCTCGTAGCTTGGACGGCCCTGAAGGGCGTTGTGTAGGGCTGAATTCATCATGAAATTGCACTGTAAAAAATTTAACAAATGAAATTTATAAAATAAAATTAATTAAACACAAAACACAACTTAATTCTTCTTTTCATATTTAAAATTTAAATTAAAAGAGTGGAAAAATTATACCATATTTTTGTGAACTAAAACTTTATATTTGTTTCTCAAATTAAAGGTTATTAAATGCAAGTAATTGAAAAATTTCATACTAAATATTCTAGTTAAGTAACAATAAAAAATACTATTTTAAATATTTAAATTATTTTGATCTGTTTTTATAATTTTTTTGCTCTGAAAAATGTATTTTTACTATCTATAAATTAGAATAATGTCGCTGTGCGTGCGTTTTTTTTATTTAAATCCAAGGAACTCACCACTTTTTTGGTGAGGATGACGTTGTGGTCAATTAGGTACTTGACGGTCTTTACAGACTTGATGGTGTTGGTCTCGTCCGAGTTCTGCGCCTTGATGGCAACATGCAAGGGCGTGTGCACTGAAACATGCGAAATAACACTCCATTACTTTTAATTCATGTCTCATGCCAACTGACCGCCCACACATTTACTTTATCAGACACAACGTTTTTTGTATTATGTTGCAGGCGCACCCGCAATGCACAGAATTTCCACGAAAAGCGAGAGCAGTCCGAGGAACTTCAGCGCGTTGCGTGACCGTCTGTGTTTCTATCTTTGCGTCGCGTGCAGTGCATTTTAAACTTTTGGTTTAAATACCCACCTAGGTAGTCGGAGAGGTGGCACGGTGAATCTTTAAGCTCCCTCAGTTTCTCGACTTGCAAAAGGTTGTTGAGCACTTCGGCGTGCGTGTCGCCGTTTTGCGCGATGCAGTGCAACAAATTTCCACCGCCGATCATTTTGCAGTGCATGGCTGTGCAGTACTGAAAGCAAAAATTTATATAATCAATGAACATTACAATTACTGAGCTTCCAAGTAGAAGAAGCACAAATATTAAAAAGTTAAATTCAAATTCACTTTAAAAATATAACTGGTTGAAATTATTTATTTTAAATCTATGCTATTTTTACTATATATTAATTTTATTATTTATTTGTAATATATTCAGTCATTACCAATTTTCTATTAATTTTTATTTGAACTTTCAAAGACTATTTTAAATGAGATAAATTAAATCTCACCTGCTTGAAGTCGTAGCCATGGAGCTGCAGCTTTTCAGCTACATACGGAGCAACCAAGGGGTGGTCGTAGCAATTACTCGCGGCCAGGTGGAGTACAGACTAAAACAAAGATTGAGCGCAATCAAGATAAGTCCTGTCTCAAATTCTGAGAAGCGAAATATTGATTGGCGCGGCCGCGGCCATTCATTCACGTTTTGTTGAGTGAAAGTATATGCGTGCGGTGCTGAATGCTGAAAACACCTACGCAGTCATAGAGAATGAATAGGACCGCGAACGATAACAGGTTTTGATAACATATTTTTTCCACCTTTCTACCACGGAAATGCTGACGCTCAAGGATACAAATGAATGAAATATCAATAGGGATAAATAATTTTTTGTTATGCATGAACTTAGAAGTGTGTACTTTTAACTAAATGGTAAAATTGTTTTTTTTTTCAACTTGGTGGCATCGGTGCTTATTTTAGGGGAACAATTTGGTACTTCAATTCACTCCAAGTGAAATAAGTAATTTTTTAATTATTTTATATAAAAGATGCTCTTCTACAAAAGGTTTAAGCCAACTATCTATTTTTATTTCAATATATTCCATAACTTTTATTGTATTTCCACTGACCTGGTTTAGCGAATTTTTTGCTTCGAGCGCCTGTGGGCATTCGCGGTGGAATCGCTCAACAAGGTGGAAAATGCTGCACAATCTGAAAAGCTTCTCTTGCAGGGAATTGTAATTCAGGTTCTCAGCAATTTGCCGGGCCGAGCTGGGATTGGCGATGAAAATCATCAGCATTCTGCCATAAAGAAATAAAATCATAAATTAAAATTCATTACCTTGATTAAAAAAGAAAAAAACTAACGTGTCTCCGTCCTTCAGAGGTTTGGTCAAGTTCTTGAGGTCGTTCAGGAAGTACATGCGGTGCGTCTTGTCGAAAATATTTGCAGCGTCTTCCTTTCCGAAGCTTTGGATGTACTTGTAGAACTTGTTTTGGAAAGCGAGACTCGCGTTGAGTTCGACCCTGGGCAAAATGGGTCTGTAGCTCTGCTTGCGGTTGTTGATTTGCTGGATGGGTTCGGGCAGGAGGGGCTCCTCACCCCTGGGGGGCGAGTGGGACGGTGAAGAAGTTCCCGACTCGTAGCCAGAGGAGATTGGCGAGAGGATTGCAGGGCTGGTCGTTCTCGTGTACGAGGAGCTGCTCGACGGTGGTGGAGTGTCCGGCATGGTGTATTTGGGCAACACAGGCTCCACTTCTACTTCGCCAACGCCCAGCGTCTGCTGGACGCTCTGGATGACAATTGGTGCACACTGGTCGCTTGTTAGGAAGTGGTACATTTCGTAAAGTTCCTGAGAAGAAGATAAAAATGGGGTTTCTTTAGTGCCAAATAATGAAACAAAAAATAATATTATTTATATTATTTATTATTTGTCTTGGTTGATAAAAAATTTTAAAATTGGAGGAGAAGAAAAAATAAGAATCACTGCCAAACTATAAGAAGAAAATCAAACCAATTTCATTTGTTTTAAAGATGTATGTATGTCTTAAAAATATAATCATTAAAGATGGAAACATATAATTAAAATGCATGTTTCAAAGAAAGCACAATTCTTACCTGTGAAAAACCATCGATGATTTCAACTGAACCTCCTGCTGACAACTGCTGGAAAAAAGAGCAATTTTTTTTTTTTTAAATTTTTCAGATTTTTTTTAAATATTTGATTGAAGCTATCGTATATTTAAAATAGAAAGTTCCCTTTGAAATTAACAAAAAATTGTTTTCCTTAGAAAATAAAGCTGTGGAGAATGATATGAAAATCATGTGAAAAAATAAAAGCTTCTTTTACAAGTTTAGTGTGGAAAATAATTGACCAAGATTTCACTTTTAATTAATAGGGTAAAAGTGCTTTCAATCCTTTTTACATGGCTTATTATTTTTTTGTTAATTGAAAATCATAAATCAAATTTCCTACCTGTGTGGACTGTTGGTAATCGTTAACTTTGACGGTGCACCCAGCCGTTAATTGCTAAAATCAAAACAAACTTAAATTACTCAATTGGCAATGATTCCTACCAAGTTGTCACATAACGTAATTACAATATGGACGCGGGACAATGAAAGATGTCTCCATGGGAACGCGGAGAATCATTAAAGCAGATAGGAACTTAAACAATTTATGGTCCCCAAGAAAAATTTATATCAGTGATAAAGAACGTCAAAATCTGTGGGATGCACGTTTCATAACGGTGAAAAAATTGCTTAAATTGCTGAAAAACCATTAAATAGGTTAAAAAGGTTAAATACAAGTTATTTTTATAATAATTTTTACTTATCGTTGAGGAGGTAATAAGAAAATAAAAGGGGTTTTCGGTATATTCTTGAAAGAATCTTACTTTCATTGAAATGATTTTTGCTTTTTAAATTACGTAATTCCGAAAGGACCAAAATCAGCTACACAATTTACTCATTTTGGTAAAATACAAGCGTTTTAAATTTGAACACTTTCATAAAATAATTTTTTTAAATGTGATTTTTGCTGCCGTTATTTGCATCAAACTGTACAGAAGTTCCTATCTACCTTAAATTCTAGTGACAGTAAATGTTATCCACAATGAATGATAATTACCTTGTTGACGTAAGGTATGGCCGTGTCGCGGGCGTCTCGGATGTACGAAAGGCTTTTCACCGGCCCCCGTTCGATCCTCTCATCCTCTTCTTCCTCAACATCTTCCTCCGTCTTGACCTGGATGGAGAGATCGTTGAGAGCGTCTGCTGCCTCGTCCACTTGATCATCTTCCTCTTTTTTCACAACAACAACTTTCTCATCACTATCGTTTTTGCAAACGTCCAGATCGTTTGGCTGGAAATCGTTTTTATTTTTCGGGCCGCACTCAAGAGAGATGTCGTTGAGTTTCTGCTCGAGCTGGGCGACGTCGCTCGACGACTCGCTGCTTTTCTTGGCTTTCATTTTCGGCGATATGCTCAGCTCGAACCGCATCACTCTGGAACAGACACAACAAACTCGTCAAATCAAACAAACAATAGGTTTTTTCTATTACACTGTGTAATACAATAACAGCTCTTCAAGTTAAGTTAGACTTAACTGAAATAAATATGGGGAAGCTGAACTGGAGCACTAATTATGAAAATGGAGCGCTTTAATTGGCAGGAAGGAGGAAAATTGATAAGAAATATTTTGTGCGTGCGACTTCTGATAAAAAACTTAAATATGAATATTACACACAGACGAATATCTTTCAGACGCAATGTTACTTCAAACCACATGCATCGAAAATATAATGATGTAAAAACGTACTTTTGGAATGAGAATCAGCAGTTATTTGACGAGTCCAGCATCAATAAAAATAAATACAACGTAAATGCCAGCTTCAATTGAAATTATTTATAATAGGTCCTGCTAGTTACTGTTGATATTAAGGACAATTTCCAGATTAAGAAAATGTAAAAAAAATTAAATTCATAACTATTAGTAAAAAGTTAAGATCATCAATAAATGAAATAAATAATTTCAGAGCCATAAAAAGATCCACACCTACTAATTTAAACACGAAAACCATTTTCATGGTAATACTTTGATATTCGAGCAGCGGAAAGTTTATTTTCATTTCATACGGTCTTTAATTTTTATTTTGACACTAAGCGAAAAAATTTTAAAATTAAAATTATTGACGTTTTTTTTTTAACTCTTCAAATCGTTCAAATACATAGTTGATCTCACAATCAGCTCAAAACAGATTTTTTTAATTATTAATTTAAAAATTTAAATTAGTGAATAGATTGTGCTAAATTTCAATTAGTTTTTCCTTGTACGAACCGCCCAAAAATCTATCGAATTCGTTTTGAGTCGCAAGCATTCAGATTCAGACACAACAAATTGAGTTAGTTGTCGATTTATTTTTTATTTTTATCAGTTGACAGTTTTTCATGATGCAGACGTTAGTGTAATGACGCAAATGCACAAGCGCGTGCGGATTGATAAGCACCGCAGGAGTGACTATGGCTTTTTCATTAGCAGTCTCTGTAACAAATCCGTGCCCTCAACGACCAAAATAATCTGCAGAGGACAAACAGCTTTTACGCAAACAGGATGCATATAAATTTTCCTGAAGTAAAATTAAAATTATAAAATAAAATTATAACAAAAATTGACAAATTTTAATGCTCCACACAAAATAAACGAATTCATTGTTCGACAAAAAGTCACTATTCTGACTGTTGAAATATAATTCTTGCGTGGATTTTATTGCGTTTCTGATTTTGACGCAGAATTCAGTTCTCCGAAAATCCAGGGTGCGTTCAAAATGCGCATGTTTGTGCTTTTGGTTCCTAGGAATTGAGTCTTTCAGAAAACATAAATTGGTGTTCAGAATATTCTCGTTTGAGCACTTTCAGCTTTGAGAGCAAAAAAAGCACTCTTCCTCAAAAAGGATCATATTTTAAAATTCCGTTTGCAAGAGAAAAAATATCTAAATTTATTGGATTATGAAAAATAAAGGAAAATACCTTTACGCTGAACTTCTCAAGAGGTAAATTTTGTTTAACTTCGCGCAACATTTTATGAATTTCTCAAGAGATCACAGTTTTTCTGAAAAGAGAGCAGCGATCACTCTGCTAAATTAATTTACGTTGTAAATGTAACGAGTGTTGGATGGAGATATAATGTTCTTTATAAAAAAAAGTCCTGAGCCTTTTCTCATCATTTTTTTTAACCCTCTACCGCGACGAGTCTTTTGCTTCGCGATGAAAAGCTTGCAAATAAGTTGTGTCTATATAACCTGCGCTGAAAATGAGTCGAGGTTATAAAGCGAGTTCATTTTAACAAAGTTAACCAGCGCGCTCATTAAAAAACAAATCTAAACCACTCGCTGTTAGTCCACAAAAAGTTCAGAATGTTTGCTAGGGGAAATGGAAAATTTCTTTGAAAATAAAGCTCAATGAAAACCCAAACCATAAGCATCACTTTTTTATCATAATTTACGACAGAACTTTTGAAACCCTCATAAAAATCATAACATTATATTTGATAAATCATGCTCATTTCATAAAGTTTCCAATTAAATAATTTAGGCGTCTTTAAAAATAGAAAATGTAAAAAGCAGTGGCAAGATTATTTCAATTTTTAAACTCTAAAATATAACATTTGTTTCTAAAATTATACCAGTTTCCTAAGAGTTAAAATGAGATTAAATGTAAAAAGTTACAACGTTAATTCTTGATCTATTTTTTTGCGATATTTCCTAAGAAACTGCTTTTCAAGTTTGTTGGTTCTTTTAACACCTTTCTTTAAATTCAAAAGTAAAACTGATATCAAATTTCAAATGTTAAGAAGTAGTGAATCATTTAAACCCCGACAGACTGAAGCCAACGATTCTTTATTCATTCGACAAGATGCAAAGCTGCCTGCAACACGCGCACAAAAAATACATCATAGAAAATTTGTTTATTTTATAAGTCGCTAACAATGAACGATCAAATTTTATGTCAAATGAGGCAGTTTGTAAGTTTTTAAAGAGGATCTATGGAGCCGAGAAATTTAATATTACGTAGTTTTTAAAAGGGTAAAAATTTATTATAAAATTGAAGAAACAAACTTTCATAAATCAAAATTGAAAGCAGGTTTTTTAATCAAGTTGACTAAACTTTTACAATTAGATAATTGAAAATATAGGACAGATTAAAAAAACGACTTGGATAAAATTAAATTTGACGTGACATAATAACATGTTCTTATAACTTACAAATTGTTAAAAATATTAATTAAAATTTTAATTGTAATTAAATTTCACTTAAGTATTATTCTAAATATTGAAGAATTGTACTCTGATGAGGTATTTTCAATAAACTATATAGTCCGGATTTCAGAAACTAAAATCGTTCGTTTAAAACCATTTTATCCCGATAATATTTGATAAAAATTTTGCAAAAAGCATTCTTCAAAAAAGGTGCGAACAAAGCGATAAATTTCCGCAACCATCAAACTGCGGGAAGTTAGCGCCACCAGCCGGAAAAAATTAATGGTCAAACGTGCGTGAGAAATAACGCACATGAATATTGGCAGAGAGAGAAAATTGGCGTGGGTGTCGCTGCAGCTTTTCGGGGCTCGCTCGCTCAGTCGCTGGCTCGCGAGAGCGCCAGAGAAGCGAACAGGAAATTCTTGAGCGCCGCCACACACGTGAGTCACGGCCGTAAAATAAAAACGCAAAAAATCTCAAGACACTCACCCGAGAAGTCGAGGAAGCTGGAGAGGAGGTGGAAAAGTCGGGGTTAGCGGGACTGGGGCATGGCGGCGTGACCCGCTCTGTGCCGACTGCCAAATTTTCCAAGAGCGACGACGTTCGCGCCGAGTTGCTGTGGCAACCAAACAGTGAATAAAATATATGAACAGGCGCCGAACTCGCGAGTTGCGTGTCCGATAGTTGGACGGCACGCATGCGCCTCGTTAATCGCAATTAAAGTTCACCAGAGTGAATCAGGCTTCTTAAGGCACTCTCAAGCTCATTGCAATCAAAGGGTTTAATTTGATAAAAAATAAGGCTTGAGCGAGAGGGGCTTGATTATTTCTCTGAACTGCGAAGGCTTCAAGCAAAATCTGCCTTTCGCATGTGTTGTGCGGCAGATGCAAGGTTTCGAGCACCACAATGGGAAGCCTTTCTCGCACTGGCTCAAGAAGTTTGTAACTAGCCCATGTGGTGTTTAAAATTTTTAAAATGCAAACGATAAAAAATTATGAAATAAATTTCCAAAATGGGAAAGACGTCCACTGTCAATCAGCCGGAGTTTATTTCGTTAGATGATTTCAAATAAATTATTTCCTTCTGATTTCAGTGATAAATTTTATTCATTTGATTATCTCAGTAACTCCAATAATTCAGCAGGGTTAAGTAAAACATGCAAATAAAGGTGAAAACTTTGTGTTTTTCAATCCTAATAATATCGTGCAAAAAGTCTATCTCAATTTTGGCGTTTTCTAAAAATTTTTTTTTTAATATTTTACCAAAATAATATAACTGCATAAGTTAACTATATTTTTTCTTCTTACATTAATTTAAAGATATGCAATTTTTTTAATGCCAGAATATTAATTTGTTCTAAAATTTCCCACAAGAAATTATTGAATTTCTGTTCCATTAGTTTGGTGGCCTCAAACAATGGCAAAGTGAGAGACGCGCCATGGCAACGTGCCTCGCCTTTTGCAAAGTGGATTATCCGTTTTTGGTTTTTCTCCATTTATTTTCCGCAGAGTTAATTTCGTCACTGGACCGTCCATAAAGCGTGTTATAATCCTCTTTAAAAAGACACAAAAAGAGAGTGTCCCGCTGGGAAATAAATACGATTGAAACTCCTTATGCGAAAATTGGAATGAAAAATCGTTATTTTTACAAAGGTCATCTATGACATAAAAAAATTTTTTGGAAAAAAATACAAGAAAGTAAAATTTTGTGGTAAATTTGCATAAAACTTGTCTTTGGTTTTTATAAAAATCCATTAATGCAATGACGAAATAAAGGAATTTGCAAATTTTCCTCATGTGCATTAATAAAAAATGATGTTTTATCTTCAAGAACAACTTCTTGATTCGCCATATATTTGCCAAGCACTCGGCAGCCAGAAGCTTTTTATCTTGAGTTTGCTCTGCCGCCCATTTTATGGCAATACATTACAGGGGCCTCGCAAGTAGTGAGGGGGAATTCCCAGTAATAAATAATGGCATTCTAGTCCACGCTGCAGAGAAAAGGATTGCCCACATACTTTTGCCAGAATTTTCTCTCCGTATTGATTTCTTGTTCATAAAACGGACGCGTCGGCTCGCAGCTTCCGGCCAATTGTTCGGCTCCTCATTTGATTGGTTTGGCCAAACGTAATTAGACATCCAGCATTTCGAGGAAGAATTACGTTTCGTTAGATTATTCAGAACCGGCACCTACGGGTTGATTCGCGAATCGCTCGCGAGGCCATAAATATTCCTCTCTGGTTCATAAATATGCCAAGTTAATGATAGACTCTACTTCTCGGAACAATGTTTCTTAAAAGTCATTGTAAATAAATACACCATGTACTTATTAATATCAGATCATGATTTATAAATTTAAAGTTGGCAAAAAAATGAAGTAACAAAAACTTGCGTTTATTTGGAAGGAAATCGGGCAGAGAAAATGGTGAAGTGTATTGATAATTTTTGTTGTATTTGAGATTTTCGCATATAGGGCTTGATAAATACTAAAATTAATTATGACGTTTCATAAATTGCTTATTATTTGGGATTCGGGCTTTAATTGTCTAGCTATAAATTATTTTCTTCTCAAAATGAAAATGGTTTCAAATTCTAAGCTTTCTCCACTTCAACAGTCGCTTACCTAAATCTTAAATCCAGAGCTGCTATATAATCTCTACAATATCTGTTTGAAAATTTATAATTCTTTGTTAATGCAAAAATGAAGTAAAATTAAAATAAAAGCGGAGTTTTCTGAAACCTTCACTTTCTGGTATAATTCCAGCACAATTTAAATTTCATAACACTAAATTAAACGCATCTTTTTGCAATTATAATTTAAATTTGAAACTGGAACGGCAAATTAGTTTTTAGTTTTTTATCCTTATAGGAAAGAATATTTTTATGCTATGGAAACTCTGACGAACTTTTGATTCATCTGGGTTTAGCAAATAACCTTCGCAGAAAGAGGTCAATCTCTTGTAACAAATAATGTTATGATCAAACTTCCATCCATAATAAAAATCAATATCCTATTTTGTTTGAACTGAACATGTTATGCCACACTGACAAATCAATATTGTTATATGACGATTGCTTTGAGTGCATTTTTAAGCTAGGTTGCTTTGTTCATGTTTGGGCAACTGAACAGTGTAGTGTGTGGGCGGCTAAGCAAGCAAGAATTTCGAGGAAATGGTTCAATACAATGTAACTTTGGCTTCAAATAAGACGTGCTAACAAAAAAGGTTGCCGAAGCTGAATCAAATTACAAAGTCCGCAGCAAGATTGATCGATGAAAAAAGAGAACCCGTGAGTATAAAAGGCAGAGGGCAGCTGTTTGGAATTATTTACACGTCACAAAGCACTACGAAAAAAGTTTGCATTTTAAGGCACATAATTTTTGTGTTTTTACAATTTTTTTTTACAATGTATTGTTTTAATTTGCCAAAACTTAGTGATTATTCCTGCCATGTCAACAGTGTTGAAAAATATTTCCACGTTAATTAACACAAATTGTAACGAATATGCAAATGAAGGTTTCACATTAATGCACTGCCTAAAGCTACGCTATACAAATCTTATGAGTTGAAGAAGTAGAATCCAATTATTTCATTGATTTAAACTTACTATCATTTATACAGCGAGTTTTTTTAAACATTAAAATTTTAATAATGGCTCTGTTTCGCTGACCTTTAATTTGCAAAGGTAAGTCGTGTGGCGACGTTTGGGCGGAAGGTGCGGCTCCGAATCGCAGAACAACCTGTTATTAGTGCGGCGGCGGCGAGAGCGAACTAGAGAGACTTTCCTGCTTTGTTCCTCTTTGATGCTTTTGTAATTTGGCGAGCGGCATAGTACGTGCCCGAGATGAAAGATATATAATTCGCTAGTAATGAGACGGTATTGCAAAATCTTTGCCTTTGAATGGTTATCTCCATTTGCATAAATCATGAGAAAGAAGAAAAAAACTCTGAAACTAAGGTTTTGCAAATGTTCTAAAATGAAAATTTCCCTGAATTTGATTAAAAAATTTAGACCAAAATGGGCTCCTTTGAGCTCTGCCGAGAAAAAGGTACTGGAGCCTCACATCTCACTTGATTTGATTACTGTTGCTTGTGACTGACGCTAACAAGGGTCTCCACTTTGGAACTTACTGGAAAAGTGAGAGAAGTTTTTCTTCAGCGGATGTTTTCCAATTTTAGGGAAAAAGCAGCAAAAATTAAGTTAACTTTCAACACAAGTTTTCGCGGTGTTTTTAATCGTAAAACTCGATGCCAAGGCGCTTTCTCGCCGGCATTACGTGCGGCTCTCATTTTTGCCGCTGATTAGCATTTTGGCCGAGAGCCAGAGATTGTCTCTCGGAGGGGGTAAGCGCAACTAAGCACAATTTGTACATAACTACAAGTGTTCACGTGAAAACCCCGTGCCATTTACAAATTTATCGATTCGCGGCATCGGACTCTCAAAACTATTCCATTGTACTCAACGAACAGCGTGTAAAATTTCCTTCTGAGCAATTTTTCCTGCGTGGTTTCAATGCCAGCTGCAAATTTGAAACAAAAATTATATTGCTCGCGACGCAGCCGTGCAAATGATGGCCTGGGATACGAAATACGAAGCCATTAGACGTCCTCCACTCCACCGGCGAGGGTTGATGATTGTGCGTCAAATAAGAAACAGGACGCTCTTTTTAAGGGTTTTTAAGCTCGGCACACACGGCAAGTGAAACTGGAAACCTTTTGATATACGAACACAAAAGTTACCTTTGCCCCATTTGCATAATTCGTTTGTGCAATAATGAAATTTTGATCCTCAAAGGGAATACTGATTTAATTATTACTGTGTTAATAGAATATTATTTACTTTTTATATGCCCTCCTAAAATCGTTCAAGGAAAATCTATTAAAAAAATGGGATTCGTTTGGGGAAGTAGTTGTTTATGTGTCCTCATGATTGCAATTTTTATATATTTGTGCTTGGAGCTATTTTCCCGTTGAGGTATAAATTTGTGGTTCCATGTCAATATAATTATTAGGAAGAGTTGTTTTTACCAATTATATGAATTTTATTTGTTATTCGCTCATATTGATTTCACAAAGATCATTATATCAAGGAACATTTTGATGATTTTACATGTTATTAGATAAAATAATTAACTATTTGTTTGATTCAACCTCGAGAACTGGTATTTTATTTTAACTGAAGTTTTCAAATTTAATATTTAACCGTGTGCCGTGTAGATTGTTATATAACAAAACTTTTAAAATGTGTTTTGTAATAATGTTTTGTCTTTGCTAAAAATGCATAGTATGATTATAATGGAAATGTCTATTCGAATAAGATGATAAATTTCTTAATTTTTGTGTTTCTTGACTGCAGTTATCCAATTAATGGGGGTAATTTAAGAATTTCACTGTTATTGATGTCACATCAGAATGTAATGAAAAATAAAAGAACTGCAATATTATAAATTTATAAAAACATGAAAATTATAATTTTTAAATCTAATAAGCAGCAAATCAATCAAATGTATAATTATGTTTTTATAAATTCATGTTTAATACCATTAAACAAATTAAATAAAGCTTATTTTTTGTATCAGAAAAAAAAAATAAAAAAATGGCAAAAAACAAAAGTAAAAACATTATTTGGAAAACTAAAATTTGAATTAATATATGCTTAAAATTTTGTAATTTATT